CAAGCAAGCCAAAAAGGAAAAATCCCAGATAGAAATACCAGATTTAGGGAGCCTAAAATACTTAAAAATTATTGCTTATAGTGATACCTCTTTTGCCAATTTGACTGATGGCAAATCACAAGAAGGGCATATACTCTTTTTAGTTGGAAGTACCAATAGATATATGCCTATTACTTGGCAATCAGAATGTATTAGAATAGTCGTCAGAAGTACTCTAGCAGCTGAAATATTAACCATGGTTGATGCAGAAGGAGCATGTCTTTTTTTATAGGAAATTTTTATTAGAACTGTTGCAGCTTGAAGATAATAATGAAAATATAAAAATTATATGTAAAACTGACAATTCCTGTCTTTATGATACAGTACATTTGTCAACACAAATTTTGGATAAGAGACTTCGCATAGAAATTGCTATTTTGAGAGAAATTATAGATAGAAAAGAAATTGCCGAAATCTCTTGGATACCAACTGATGTACACACTGTGAACTCACTGACAAAGAAAGGAGTACCATCATTTAAGATTCTTGGTTCATATCAGAGTCTAAGGAATCCTTTGTTTAATGTTACAGTCTTTTATATATTTTTTGCAGATTGATAAATATATATATACACACCTGATGTTTAAAAAGAAAAAAAGGGGGATAACAGTTGCTATCCTTGGTAATTCTTCAACAAGAAAAAGGGGCAGTTTACCCAAAGAGGCTGAGTGGCCATTTTAGATAGGGCACACATGTGGAGAATGAAAGAGTCTGAATAAATCGTTCTCTTTCCATTACAAGTCTGAGTTCCTTTAATTTAAATTTACTGACACTGCATGTTATACTTTTAAAATTATGTCAATTTACTTTCATTTAAGAAATTTTAATTATTTTTTGACTGGAAATTTTTTTTATTTTGTCATTTGTTGTTTTTTATTGCAAGGGTCAAGTCATTTAATTTGAGTCAAGGTGGGCTGAGGTGACGGCAGGGGTTGGTAGGCCTGTTCTGTGGAACAGATATCAATGGTGATGAATGTGAAAGGAATTCCTTGTAAATGAGTTGCGGTAGGCCAAGGTGATGGTGGAGCTTGGTATCAATGAAGGCTTCTAGCTGGGAGCAATCGAGGTAAACATTTCAAGTTGAAGCTGGATAGTTTCGCTGGGTGGAGTTGAGGTTGAGATGTTTCAAATTGAATCTGGATAGCTGGGGTGGTTGGTTAAACCAGGAAGTGATAACAGTCATTGAAATATGCAGTCATGTTGAGTGGTGGTGATGAAGGCAGGGACACTGGCAGCAGCAGTGCTCTGCGTGACAACCAGGATGCAACTCTTTTGTCATGGTGACAAGGTCATGGTGGTGGTAGCAGCAGCATCCTGTGTGACAGCCAGTGGCTATGCTGTGCCACACCACAACTCTGTCCTGTTAATTTTCAGAGGCTTGCTTTTAAGCAGGTCTGGTAGTCCCCAGGGACATCTCTCTCTCCCTGGCAGAAACGGTCATGATTGGCCACTGCTGCAGCTCACTTCATAGACTGGATGTGATGCATGGAGCCTAATTTGAAGAAAACAATTTTTCTTATTTCACTTTCTGTCTTCATGGCATTCACATCAGGCCAGCATGCAGAATGAATCGGAATGAGATCTAATTGCAACAGAGTATAACACATTGTAATGAACAATCCTTATTCCCTTTGTATTCCTTTGGTGAGTGTTCCATGTAAGTTCCACTGGAGCAGCAGCTTTCCACAAACAGCTGCCTTGTGGAACTGACTCCCAAGAGGATACTTCCATGGTCATGACAATCTTAAACTGTGCAAGTCTAGGGTCAACTGTTATCTTCCACACATATTCACATAAGCTGTGCCTCTTACTCTGTAACACTCTACCTCAAGTGGCCCTCAGGCTTTGTATAGGGTGAACCTCATTGTAAAAAAAATATCTTTTTGTATTTTTTGATGTAAGATCAATACACAATATCTGTTTCAAGCAAGAGACTTGTGAATACTTATTCGAAATTTTTCAGTTTCTTAAATGAAAAACAAGAACTTTTATGGGTAAAAATAATTTTTCCCAGTTTGGAACTTTTAGTCTGAAACAAGACAATTACAATTTCACATTTCTTTTTACAGGGTGCAATGCATAAATTGTTGTCTAAATTATGCAGAAATGAAAATAAAACTAACATCTCCTTTTAACAGATATATTACATAAAAATATCTTGAAATACTAAAGAGTAAATTACCATTGGCTTCAACCATTGACTCCAGATGACTTCATAACTTCCTGCAACTCTTCTGGATGGTCTCCTTGTTCAAGTTGGGGAATGTTGCCATAATCCTTGCTTTCAGTTCATTTTTGGTGTTACAAGGATTTTTGTTGGTCTCTCGCTCTACTGTACCCTACACATAATATAATCAAAGTGGTTGCAGTCTGGGGAGTTAGGTGGCAAGATGTAAGAAGTGATGCACTCGCAGAAATTATCTGACAGCTATGATTGGTTTCTCCTGCTTGTGTGACATAGTTCAGAGTTCTGTTGTCAGACATAGGTTCTTCCAGCAGCCATCCTCTTGACTCAGGGGAGCACTGCCTCCTCAAGGCACTTGATGTAAGCCTCTGCTGAGTCTGAGGCTCTGTGGGAAGGTGAATGGAGGCATAATGTTTCCATCACTAGTGATCACTCCAAACACCTTTGTAATCACCATTAGACTCATCCAACTTTCCAAATCCTCTGCACTGTCCTCAGATTGACACCTGTTTCTATTGGAGCTTCCGGTCTGAATGCCAAGTAGTACAGCATGCTATTTCCAAATTTCTCACAGTGAATTGCATCATGGGGCTCTTTTTCTCACAGACAATACCCTACTGACCCTACTATACTGTGCAGTCAACAACATCAAAAACAATGTGCATGTATGAAATTAAAAAGATAACATGGCGACAATTTACCCATTGCACCCTGTACATAGTAAAATATTTGTTTTTGTATAAATAATTCACATACGCTTGATACTGCCATCAAGGCCAGATTCAGATGAAGAGAGACTCTAGGCTATTCCACTTGTGAGGCTCCTTCAAATCCCTCATTCTCATGAGTAGAGGAAAATGGAAAAGTGTTACATTAAACAATTTGAGTAAAGCCAAAGATGATAATGGGTGTTTAAAATTTCACAGTTGACAATTCCTCATCAAAAGCACATAAAGGTGTTATTGTTAAATACAGTATGTGATTGAAAAAATGTATGAATGCTAAAATTAAAAATAATCTGTAAAAAAATCAATGCTAGCATCAAGTTATTGGTTTAAAACAGAATTATTCTGAAATGGAATGTAAAGAAAATTACTGAAGGGTTGCTTTATAAGCTATGACATGTGTAAGAAATACCTATGACAGTGTCAAAAATATTATGTACCTTGATTGGAGGCCCTCTAGATTTTGAGGCCCGAGGCTTCAGCTTGCTAAGCCTATAGGTTAATCCAGCAATGACTGCTATATTGTTACTATTTTTAGACTTTTAAGAAAATTTAATAAACTTTTCTTTCCATAAAATATTTAAAATATCAAGTTATACTTGTTAATGAAATAATGAATTGTTTTTACCTTTTATGCTTATAATTCAATGACATAAGATGGTCTGGTTACCTCTTTGTCTTTCCAAATGAGATTAAGATATTTTTTTTTTTAATTAACCCTTTACAAAAGGAGAGTAAGCAAGCAAAATGTTTAACCAAATGACTGATCGTTCTTAAGTGCTTTATTCTATTGAATTTGTTCATTTTCTAAGATGAGAATGTTCTCGGGTATTAATTTCTCACAAACAGAAATAGGTCATGAGTCTCCATGACTTCTGAGATCTAATATGGATGTTCAGAGGAGTAGAAGGTTCAATTTTGAATCTTCTCAACCTTAAAATTCATAGGAATGTCATTCAGTTCCATGATTCCTTGATTTGAGATGGGAATATGGTTGGAATAATTCTTTTCTAAATGCTTCATTTTAAAGACTTGGGAAATGAAAACTGACAATAGAATTTTCAGAAGAAAATTATCTCTACAGAGATGGAATACGAGTGCAACATTTAGGAATCTAAAAATTAAATATGGTTTGTGATTTTCAATAATAAAATAATCCCAATTATGGTCACTGACTCATGTAAAGTTTCTTGTGAATAATGATAACAAGCTAAAACTCTGCATTACCAATAACCAGCTCATTCAAGAATAACTAGAAGTTCTAATATTCCATTTTAGACATTCTTTATTCTTGAAATCACTGTACCTAATGTTCCTAATTAAATATTTACAAAAGAGTAAATGATTGTTACCTGTCAATGATATTTCTGAATATGACATAAATGGTAAGAGAACCAGAACGTTAGCCTGAAAACTTGAGTCATGTTTTTAAATAACCTCATCAGATCAAGACTTTCATATGGATGTTATGCATGGCACAAAACCTGTTCAGAAATATTTAAACAGGATATTGTATACAACAGCTTTCTCAGATCATTGGTTTAAAATGTCTTTCAGTGAATGAAGCTTGTAGGTATAAGCAAGAACAATCCTGTTCAAGCCTTGTAGACTGGCACCACCAAATCATAAAGAACTGTACCAAATAAAAGAAACCACATCACTTGAGGACTTTCAACATTAGCAACAACTAAAATGGATAGCACATGTAACTCATACAGAAAATAATGACATAATCAAGATGTTCACTTTCCACACTACTTCAAACCAAAGGCTAGGAAGGAAACACCCATCAGTAACGTAAAGAATGATAACAGATTTTGAGAAACCTATTTTCCTGAAAAGCTGTTTCAAGTCCTCGAGTGATGTGATTTCTTTTATCTGGTACAGGTCTTTGTGATTCTGCAGCACCAATCAACAAGATTCGAAGAAAGGATGGTCATCGCTAAGATCTACAGGTTTCACTTGCTCAAAGCCATTTTTATTATTTGTATTTGAAAGCAGGTGCATATGGGTGAAAGTTTAGATATTTTTCACATGATAATTTGAAGAATATGCTGGATGCGGATGAATTTCACTACATTGCAAAATCATCATTCCTTGCTAAGAATATCTTCTTTTTCATTCAAACAACTCAATTCCACATAAAGTGAGGAAGTCAGTCATACATATTATGAGGATATATAGGATAGATTATAGTTGAACCTAGATTTGAAAAGGTTAAAATTGTATTGATTGGGAAAGCATCCTCTCGGGAGTCTATTCTATAAAGTAAGAGTTTTAGGGAAAAAAAGGTCAACAGAACTAATGAAATACAATGTGGCTTTGCAGGTCCCAGCTGTATTATGTGCCATGGTGCGTATTAGCTCTGAAGGTCTGAACTGGCAGAAACAAAATAATGTAGCTTTATCCAAAAAGATTTGATATGAAAAGAGCAATAGAGCAGAGTCTGTGAGAAAGAGGTTTTAGGGTGAAAAATAATTTATCCCTGAATAGGCTGCATAAATACTTTTGAACTTTGTCAGGGCTGGAAAGTGAGGATTGAACAGCCACATCACAGATATATATTTTTTAAATCATTCCACCCCCAAGCAAGGTCATTGTTGTAACCTAGGAAAGGTTAATGAATAGAATAATCAAATGAAGGTTGGTAATGAACGATAATACTTAGGACATGAACAACACGTATAAGATTTGCCAGCAGTGTGTAGAAGCAGTAGTCAACTGCTAGAAGTGACTTCCACAATGAATCTCCAACTGCAGGATATCTACCAATCACCCCACACAGTCGTTTGTAGCACAAGGCCAAATTTAGTGTGGGGTATCCGATCCCATAGGCTCAACTAAAAATTTCCATAAGCCCAGTATAAAACAGGGTCGGGTAGCTGTTTCACAACAGAAGACTCTGCTTTCGACAGTGCTTTGTCTGGGGATCCGCTCTGCCCAGAGGTAGAGAGTGTGACCAGCACAGCTGAAGACAAATCTTCAACTGCAGACCGACACAGTATTTACTACTGTATTTATGTGAATGGGGATATACCCATTATCATCCATATGTATGCTACAACAGTAATAAAGCCACTAAGATGCAAGGAGTTACTGAGTGTGAAAGTATATGAGAAAAAAAAAAACATTATTGAGGAAAGAGAACAGTAAAAGAACAGGAATTAAGAAGTTAAAAGATAATAATTGACATTGTATTTAAATTTTTGAAGATCAAAGTTGACTGGAAAACAAGAAGCAGATTTCTACAAGTTCTACAAGTGGGAAGTGTGATAGAAGAAACTATTAGCATAGAACTTACAGCTGCATCTTTGCCAATTCAACTGTAAATTGATGAGACCAAGCTGCTAATCTAGTAGTGTGTCTAAATTCATAAAGTTAAAGTATCAAAGAAATAAACCCATCAGAACAATTACCATGAAAGTATTTATCAAAAATATATAAGGAAACTATGTTAGGGTGGTGGAAAAGTGACAAGCTGAGATGCCAGGTCAGGATCAATATGTTCTGTTACAATTTTTCCAGATTACTTTCTTCTTTTTATTTGGCATATCCTTTCAGGAGTTAGGTGATCATGGCTCTCCACCTCTCTCTATCCCTTGCAGCTCTCAACAAGTTCCTTCCCTCTGCTTCTTCTGAGAGACCATATTGTGTCATCCACTTGCTTAAGCCTTTCAGTTATGTCATGTGTTGTTTTCCCTTGTCTCTCTCTCTCTCTCCCTCCCTCATTCGACCCATGAGTATCAGATTCTCCAGGCTCTCCTTCCTCGTTATGTGTCCCAGAAACTTCAGCTGCCTCTTCCTGATGTTAAGTATAAGCCTCCTTGTTTGAAACCTCTCTAAGACCTCATTGTTGCTCACACACTCGGTCTATGATATTCTTAGCATCCTTCTGTAGTACCACTCAAATAAAAGGTTCTTGTAATGATTTAGTTAAGTGTCATGCGTGATACATGCTTGGGTAATCATGCATGTTTGAATACATGACTGACGAGGCAGATTTTTTCCTGTGGTAGACCAGTTGCCATCCAAAGCTATAGAACCTGGTCTGTCCTGCTATTTACCCATAGCTGGGGGGGGGAGAAAAATAGGATTCTGTTAAGGGGTCCACCCCTTTTTATACAAGTGGACTCACCCAGTGTGTACTTGTACTGCTGCTGGTGAATATCCGGGGGTGATACAGTGAGAGTGTGAGGTGACCGCTTTGTAGGAGTCACAGTTGCGAGCACATAAACTCAGAAGGAAGTCATACTTCGATACTGAATTTCCCAGACTGTATATATATTATTATTGCTACTAACCGCATTTCTGGATCTACTAACTGTATTACCAATTGTATTAGTACGTCAATACATTTATTTGTTATATTTCATTCCTGCGTTTGTCATTCATTTAAGACCAGATTTCATCCCAGAATCCACAACAGATTCATACCTTTCCCAAGGGTATTAGCATGTAAGTGAATGTAACAAATTTGACTAGAATTTGAACTCAGCTCTCCAATTCCTCAATCTGAGCTGCTATCCATTACTTTACTGTAACACCTAATAATAAATTTGTAATAAATGCCTGGTCCAAAACTGATTTTATTTTTCTGTTAAACAAGAAGCGAAACAGAAGTGTTTATATACTGACCACTGTTCCATTTTTATACCTTCTATAAATGCTTAGCAAAAGTTGATGGATTCATCTGTAATTTTTTTTAAAGTTTTCATGTTATTTTTATGTTCTTCAGTTATTCATTTATCAACATGTGAGGTCTTCCAGATTATTTGATTTTCTTTGAGTACAAAACCTTTTTTAAACTTCACAAACTTTTCATTTTACCCTACTTAATCTTTAATGACCCATTACTCTTTTCCCAGATTAAATAGGAGCATTAAATATTGTTGAATGCATTTTAGATTTCAACATGATTTTCACAAAAATAAAAGTGTTCACCTCTACACAAACAATTCTTGTAAGGCAGGCATTCACAATTGATAAAATGTTGAATAAAATTCAAAGATACTTATAAGATTTCTGTAATATTGCACAAAAACATGGTACTGGTAATTTTAGCATCAAATACTGATGATATCAATATTAAAATATTTTAAAAATGAGCTACACTTTCTTTCTTATATATCAATGAAATATAATCAAATAATTATTAAGCATAGGAATATTTTTAAAACTGATTTTCATTCTTGGTTTTGAAATTTATGTACAAGGCTTTGAGAGAAATATCCAAAAATCAGATAAACAAATCATTACATCAGTTTCAATGAAATAAGATATTTTAAATTCAGAAGATATATTTTTATGTCTTTTATTCTTTTTGTTTTCTTCCGTTTGTTTGATGTTTTCTATTAAATATTCTTTCTATTATTATTTTCTTTTCTCTTATTAATTTGACAGGGCCATTGAAGGACAAGATAAACACGCAGCAACAGTTCATATGGAACTTTTAGACTCCCTTGGTGAGTAAAAAGCTTCTATCTCCCTCTCTTCCTTCTCTCACTATCAACCTTTCTTCCCTATCTCTCTCATCTCAAAATAGCATCGTGGCTATCAGTGTTGGAAAGTGGACTGTCTTGCAGAGTTCAAATCCCAACTAAATATCCCTGGCAAAGACATAAATCAGTTTCTTCTCCCAACTTCTTCTTCTATGAGCTGTGTCCCTTCAGGACATTGGCAATCATAGCCCTCCATTATTTTCTGTCTTTTGTAGCTCTTAATAAATTTTATCTTTTTTACTATTTCTCCTAAATCCTATTCTACCATCCATTTACACTAAGCTCATTAAGTAGGTTATGCACTGTTTTCGACTACACCTCTTGCCTCCAACATATCCTGTGAGTGTCAAATTTTCCAAGCCCACTTTCCTCATTTTGTGCCCTATATATTTCAATTATCTCTTTCTGATGTCAATGATACATGTTCTTTTTGCTAACATTTTTTCTAAAACCCTCAGAATCACTTCATTATATGGGTTAAATATGTCAGGTGAGAAAACAGATCCTTCTCTGACACTCCTTTCTGTATTTCCTGAATTCATTTTCTATCCATAGTTATAGTTTAAATAGCATGGTGGACTGTGTTTTCTAACTTTGGTTGGCAACCAGTCTAGGAAAAGGAATTCAAATCTAAGGTGTGCAGTTTGGTGACTTCATGGCAGTTTGCATCATTTTTCTATTATCAGATCTTCTGAAAAGTGTGGTTGGTTCTGCACAAGATTTCATGATTGTAATAAAAAAAATAGTATGTTTGGTAGTATTTCATCATTCATCAATATCAGTGGCTAGGTTCCTGAAGCAAATGACATCAATGCAGGCTTCCCTCAAGGCTCACTCCTCAGTCCTACCCTCTTTTTGTTTTATATTAACTATCTGCCTGGGAAAATTCTCATATTGTTGGTAAATATTGATGCAAATGATGGTACAGTTTATGGGTGCACCTTAAAAAAATCTAAATGACCAGAGCCTGACCTCTCTAATCTATCTCTGACAGCCCAATGGAGAAAAAACTGGTCTGTAACTTTTAGTCCCACAAAAATCAAGCTAATAAGTTTTTATCAACACCATGCTGACCCTGAATTCCAACACCATTCATTATAAAAGGTTGCACTCTTAAAATACTCCTTGTTTTGAACATCGATTTAAACATCCCCCTATTAGTCCGTTGATGAGAGGTTCATCTGTATGTATGTATATGTGTGTGTGTGTGTATATATATATATATATATATACACACACACACACACACACACACTTGTACATACAGATGAACCTCTCATCAACATATATATATATATATATATATATATATATATATATATACACAGTGTATCACAAAAGTGAGTACACCCCTCACATTTCTTCAAATATTTAAGTATATCACTTCATAGGACAGCACTGAAAAAATTACCTTTTGACACAATGAAAAGTAGTCTGTCTGCAGCATATATAACAGAGTTAATTTTTTTCCCCTCAAAATAAGTCAAAATATAGCCATTAAAAGCTAAATCCCTGGCAACAAAAGTGAGTACACCCCTAAGAAACTACACCCCTAAATGTCTAAATTGATTACTGCCTTTTCTTTTCCCTCCAAAATGTCATGTGACTCATTAGTGTAACTATGCCCATGTGTTCATGGGGAGCAGGTGTATTCAAATTTGTAGTGCAGCTCTAACACTCTCTCTTACCGGTCACTGAAAGTTCCAACATGGCACCACATGGCAAAGAACTCTCTGAGGATCTTAAACAATGTATTGTTGCACTACATAAAGATGGCCAAGGCTACAAGAAGATTGCCAACACCCTGAAACTGAGCTGCAGCACAGTGGCTAAGATCATCCAGCATTTTAAAAGAGCAGGGTCCATTCGGAACAGGCCTCGGGTAGGTCGTCCAAAGAAGCTGAGTGCACGTGCTGATGGGGGCTACGTAGATGAGAGTTTTGTTTTTATATATATATATATATATATATATATATATAGGTGTAATATTAGAACTTGTGCAGATTCAAGTAATAACTATATGTTAGGATGCAGACATTGATCTATCTTCATACATATGCATGCATACAAACAAATAGATATTACAAACTGACTAGGTGTTGTCAAAGGTAAATTGCTTTTAGTCCAAAACATTTAATAACTACACAGATGCAAATTTATTATTTACTACCTTTTCTTAGAACTTCCATTGAAAAAAGAAAATCTACAGTCAGTGCTTTTAAGACAAAATTATACAGCCAAACTTCTATGCACCTTCAGGTTGTTGACAATCATGGCTCTCCTCGATTTCTTGTCTTTTGTAGCTCTTAGTAAATTTTGTCTTTTTGTTATCTCTCCTAAAACCTGTTCTGCCATCCATTTACACAGGTTCAAATGCATTGTTTTCCTCTGTCCATCTTACTTTCAGTATGACCTGAGAATGTCAAATTTTCTGTTTGTCAGTACAGCATTTTAAAAAAAGATTAATGCATTTTAATACTTTTCTATAGGAAAGAATTAGTCTTGATTGAAACAACTAAGCATTTGTAATTTTAAGTCTAAATTAGGCTAGCTAATTAATAATTCCTGGAAGATCGTAAACATGAAATGTTTCTAATCAACTGATATGCATTTTCTCTCTGCCAATAAAACATTTCATTTCATATAGCAATGAACACTTATACTCTCAACAAGGCTCCTTCCTTGTCTGAAAACATGTATCGACACTCAAACTCATTCCAGACCTCAAGTGGAACTCATATATAAAATTCATCATGAAAGATGCTTGAAAACGAGCTGGTTAGTCACATCCCTCTTGCCTTCAGTATGTCCTGTGAGCCTCAAATTTTCCAAGCCCATTTTCATCATTATATATCATAGACATTTCAATTATTTTTTCTGATGTTATCCATAAATGTCATTTTTGTTTCATTTTCTCTAAAACTTTATCACTGCTCACATGTTCAAATAATAATTCTCTTTTTATCTTCCCTCGGTATTAAGAAAATTTTACAGCTGTGTTCAAGTCTGAACAGCCAGAGGCAAAAAAAAAAACATTATGGCTGTGAATCCTTGACTTTGTATCCAGTCAGACATAAGTAAAGTTTGTCTATATACCACAATATTATGTGAAAAGGCTTGTTTTATAATCTAAGTATCATCTTTCTTTTGGATTTAATAAAGAAAGTGTAAATTCCAAACAGAATATTATATATAAATCATTGCATTTATATTTAATATTCATCTAGGGAATTATTCTGTCATGTCAGTGCTCCCCATAAAAAAAAAAAAATACCATGAAAATGTCAAAATAAAAAGACATGGTTAAAAAATGAGGGCATGAAAATCAAATCTATACTGAAACATTCTTTGCAAAAGTGGATTCTGTTGCCAACTGTCAATAAAACAAAAGGAAAAGCTTTGCAAAATAGAATTGTAGTATATTTCTCTCATACTTGTTTGATCTTTCAAAGTAAATCCAATTGTTTGTATTCTGCTTTTATTTCATCCTGTATAAAAAGAAAAATGAACATTGCTCTTATAATCGTTATAATATGAACATGTATTTCATGTTACTAAGTGTATGGTGGCAGAATAAAGAAGAAAAATTTTAAGAAAAAACCAATTGTATTAGCATAAAATGCAACAAATGAAAAATCCGGGTAGCTGTTTCTCATATGAAAAAAAGATAAGTAGAGTTGTAAAAGGGCTTTGGTGATGTGTACAGAAGGAGAGGGACAATGAGTTGTGACTTATTGGGGTGACAACAGTTGGTGAGCTGGCCGAGTTTGATGTCTTTGGAGATGGGATTTGACAAGCATGTAGACTCAGCTCAAGATGCTGTTCAACTGCCGAATATCCCTTTCATGGACTTTTATGTCCTTTTTTCAGGCACAAATTGGCTCCAGTTTTCATTTTGTTTTTTTAGGTGGGAATTGAGTGGAAATTATGGATTGTCTTACTTTTTTTTTTTCTTTCAGTATGTAAGTAAATGGAAGATATCTATGGAGCTTTTCACAGCTAACAAATTTTTAGTTTAGTTTTGGCCATTTGGAGCATTTACAACTGTGTGAAGATGGTCTAGCATTCATTGCCATATAGGAGGATTGATATTACATGACATTTCAGTATTCTTTTCTTTGTTTCTAATGAAATTTTCCTGTTTCTTAACACTTTACTTACCTTTTGGAAGGCACCTTTCACTATGCAAATCATCTCCAGAATTCAGTGTTGCCCTTTCCATTCTCTGTTAAAACACTTTCCAGATATTTAAATTGTTTTAGTTGCCTGATTTTGGTATTTCCAATTTGTAATTTTCATGTTGGGCTCTTCCTTTTGCTAACAACAATGCATTCTATCTTCTTGCAATTGATACTTAGTCCTTTCTTCTTGCTTTCCTTCACTACCTTCTGTAGGAGTTCTTGTAGTTTCCTTTCTATATCTGCTATCAACTTTGTAACATCTGCATATCATTTGTTTAAAGATAAAAGACAATAGGAAAACTGTATTATTAGCTAATGTATTTCATCCAGTGTGGACTTTTTCAAGGCAAAAATGAAATAAATTTATTGAAAACAAAGTAACCATTAACAACAAACAAAATGTCCTTAGCAACTAGAAGAAATTAGAAATCACTATTGTATTCATATTGTCAACTGAAAATTATATCAACTACAATATGAATACAATAGCGTTTTCTAAATTCTTCTAGTTGTTCAAGACATTTTGTTTGTTGTTAATGTTTACTTCGTTTTCAAAAAATTTATTTTGTTTTTGCCTTGAAAAAGTCCAAACTGGATGAAATGTGTTGGCTAATAATACAGTTTTCCTATCGTCTTTTACCTTTATACATATTGTCTTTTTTCTACAGGTTAACTCTGAGAAATTTTTTGTATCTTATGTTGTTAATATTGCAGCTACCAATAAAGAATCCTAGTAGAATTTTTAATTCTCTCAGAATTGCTTCACTGTATTGGAGAATAAGT